GAATAGTAAGGTTTTCCTCCTCTTCCTCCTCCACTATTGCATTGCAATCCATGTCTTCATTGTCCAAAAACAGATTCCTCAGGCCAGCTAAAGCCTCAACTTCTTCAGATCCCCATATCACGTTAGTCTGTTGAAATGTCTGGTGCAGATGCGGTATCGGCTGTTCAAGAGGGTAATAAGGACTACGCCATGGTGGTGACCAATTTTGATACTCCAGGTGTATTCATACCCAAGGCCAAAAGTTGTGTTGTGATGCTTTAGCTGTATCGGTTTGGTGACGCTCAAGAGTCAAGACTACAATGATTATTAGACAAATTGACAATGTTGTTCCTAATTAATCCAAAATCATTCTCATTCTTATGAAGAGGTTGTCTAAGTGAAACTTAAGTGACTGATACTTTGGAGGGTGTAACTTACTAGAATTTTCAAGAACAAGGCACACTAAATGCAATACGACTCCTCCGTTTCTTACTGTATAGAACAAAAACAGGATTGCAGATATCAGAATATAAAACTTGATATCAAAGAAAACTTAATAGAAAGTAAAATGCGAAAGATCTAGACTACCAATTATTTTCACTCTAAGCATCAGAAAAGCCTAGAAATTTAGAACTAACATTGAAGAATTTGGCTTTGACCACTACAGAAATGGCTGCTCATCGGGATAAAATCACTAGCCATGCACCTGTTTTGTATGGATTTCCGGTTTCTATGAAAATTAAGTCATTAATGTAAGCCCTTCAACTAGAATACCAGAGAAGCCTAAACTATAAAACGGGTTCACTAGGAATACAAGTTAATTGGAGATTCACTATGTGCCACCCACATCACCCTATGGCTACCAATATTTTCTCGTACTTTGGTCAATAAAGTTTTACTATTAAAACTAATTATGAAAAGGAAGAAGCTTTTCCAAATTCATCTTATGGAGTTATATTATATTGACAGTTAGAAGTTTCATGCAATTCTGATTTGCCATTTTGCACATTGTACTGGCAAGAGGTTGATTTTGCAGCACACTTTTCGATATATATGGTAATAGTTGCTGATAAATAGAGCGAGAAACTTGGAGCATACATTCCCAAAATTTGACTACACTGCCAACGACAGCTAAGGTTTTGTAAAGTTTAACAACAAGAAACTTGTGGATCAAGCGTAACTGCTTACATTACTCTCCAATAAAGTTAAATCAGAAGTATCTCTTCTCATAACCGACGAGACCATGAACCCCTCCTTCAACTTGTGCGGCTCCTGTTCGGACCTGGAGAACCAGAAAAGAGAGTTAAAGTTAGATTCCCATGAACTAACAATCAAAAAAAAAATAGATCCCCATGAACTATGAGGTAAGATGATTCTGCCATTTCATTTTGTTTTTTCCAAACACCCGGAAAAAAACCCAAACATGCAACAATAATAATAGTTGAGTAAGAAGATACAACAAAAAACAAGAGACAAACCTCTAGCCTCAATTTGCCTGATTTTAAAAGATGATGAGCAGATTGCAAGGAGGAAGCACCTAGATCCTGGAATCCTTGCTTTACAGCTTGCATTGTATAGGGAATGAACTTCAGAATAGAACCTTTATCAGCAACTGAACCGACAACTCCCTGAGCAATCTTTAGTTTAGCAGTATCACCCAAGTATCTTGCATCACTCCCTTTTGTCATTGCTTCCAGGGATCCCATACCTCGATATTTTTTCACACGCAGACCATTCTATCCTTGCCCAAAA